ACACACACACGACGTCTGGCGTCACTGTGACTGAGAACAGTTATTGAGCAGTTCTTTATGGAGAAACTTATTCATTTATAAAAGTATGAAATTACCATGTATAATTGCACAGTGAATGTCTTATCAATTACTTCGGGCCAAGGTACTTGTGTAAATTGTTAAGCTACAGTGTAACTTCAGTTACGTTGTCCGCAACACACACGTCAAGCGGGCCAGTGATATATGTATTGATTATGTCAATCTTACTTGCAAGAACTCACTGCAGTATAACTCATGTATCCTCGTTTCTCAACAACTTTTGTATGGGCTGTCACGGTCACTGTACCCGGAAAAACTCAAGTTTTGGAGATATATTTATCCATACTCCTTTATCTGATTGCCCTTGACGTCGGTTAATAGTTTATCACATGTAGGCTGTCACTAAGCTGACACATTGATAACAAGAGGGGAGAAAACAAGTAGTCCGGAAGAATGATTTAGCAATAAATAATTATAATGATAAGTAATACACGACCCTCCATTTTAACAAACCACAGAAACATCCTTTAAAGATCTACACTTTTACTATCCCAGTCAGTGGATCAGTCACCTCGTTATCAACTCCCTGGGTAGTATACAACCGAAGATGTCCGTTGGATAGGAGTAACATTAGCAACTCATCCTCTTGGGTATCAATTCACTACGGGGAAAGCAGGGTTAAATTCACTGGCCGAGGTGTCCCACACCGATTATCAACTTGACCACCCATGTAGATACCCTGTAGTTATGCGCCACCAAGACAGGACATTTAATCAGCCATGACACCATCAGTATTTACGAAAATAATAGGCCTCATAAATGAAAATAAATGATTGAAGGGGTGGGGTGGTGGTGGTTGAGTGGAGGTGTGTTTTTTTAAATATTTTTTTGGGGGGTGGTAGTGTGTACTTGCTTCTAGCCCGCTGAATGAGTCTGTTAGAATAAAATGTCTTGGAGTCTGTATGATTTAGTTTGCATAGAGGGTTGTAATGTGTGGGTGCCGTAACCCGTGCGTTTTGTAGCCGGGTGAACTTCACCGGGACGTCAGGCCCGGGGCATGAAAGTGTCTAAAAATTGCTTAAGTCTCTCATTTTGATCTTAAGTCCAAAAAATTGTCTTAATCGGAGATCACGTACATTTTTTAGTCTTAAAAGTTTAGACTGAGATCATATTTTGTCTTAAATCCTGAGACTGCTACCTACCAGTCTTAAGCCCTTTTTGATGCCGAGATGTTTTTCAGGCGCACATTTCATAAGGTTTGAAGAGTGAACGTTTGTGCGAGATTTGCACTCGCGTGGTCCTGGATCTACGTACCACTATAAGATTAAAGAGAAATGTGGAATATTAAGTTTCCTATCCGTTGGTATAAATATAAATGCCAATACCTCGGCGGTTTGAGAAATAAACACTGCTAAATGATGTCCAAAATTTTGCTATGCGTTAAAAGACAGTAAATTTCTCCGCTTTTGATCGTGCACCGATAAAAGCACTGTGCTACGATTTTATACACATACAAAACAGACAGGCACGGCTGGCACAGAGACAGGCAATTCAGGCACACAGACAGGCACAGTTGGCACACAGACAGAGAGGTAATTCATGCACACAGACAGACAGACAGGCACAGTTGGCACACAGACAGGCAAGGCGGGCACACAGACAGACAGGTTATTCAGGCACACAGACAGACAGGTAATTCAGGCACACAGACAGACAGGTAATTCAGGCACACAGACAGACAGACGGGCACAGTTGGTACACAGACAGGCAAGGCGGGCACACAGACAGACAGGTAATTCTGTCACACAGACAGACAGGTAATTCAGGCACACAGACAGACAGGCAATTCAGGCACACAGACAGACCGACAGACAGGTAAGGCGGGCACACATACAAAACAGACAGGCACAGTTGGCACACAGACAGACAAACAGGCAATTCAGGCACGCAGACAGACAGCCACAGTTGGCACACAGACAGACAAACAGGCAATTCAGGCACACAGACAGACAGACAGGCACCGTTGGCACACAGACAGACAAACAGGCAATTCAGGCACAAAGACAGACAGACAGACAGGCACAGTTGGCACACAGACAAACAGGCAATTCAGGCACACAGACAGACAGACAGGCACAGTTGGCACACAGACAGACAAGCAGGCAATTCAGTCACACAGACAGATAGACATGCACAGGTGGCACAAAGACAGGCAAGGCGGGCACACAGACAGACAGGTAATTCAGGCACACAGACAGACAGGCACAGCAAAGCAGGTGCACAGACAGAAAGGCAGGCACGGCGGCCACACAAACAGACAGGCAAGGTGGGCACACAGACAGACAGGCAGTCACAGTTGGCACGCAGACAGACAGGCATATAGACACGGTTGGCACACAGGCAGACTGGCAAGGCGGGCACACAGACAGATAGGCAAGGCGGGTACACAGACAGCTGACAGGCAAAGCAGGCACACAGACAGACATACAGACACGGTTGGCAGACAGGCAAGGCGGGCACACCGACAGATAGGCAGGCACGGCGGGCACATAGACAGACAGGCAGGCACGGTTGCCACACAGACAAACAGGCAAGGCGGGCACACAGACAGACTTACAGGGAAGGCGGGCACACAGACAGGCAAGGCGGGCACACAGGCAGAATGGCAGGGAAGGCGGGCAAACAGACGGACTGGCAGGGAAGGCGGGCACACAGACAGGCAAGGCGGGCAGACAGACAGGTACGGCGAACACATAGACAGACAGGCACGGCGGTCACACAGACAGACAGACACGACTGACCCACAGACAGAAAGGCACAGCAGACAGACAGACAGGCACGGTGGGCACACACACAGACAGGCAAGGCGGGCACAGAGACAGACAGACAGGCACTGTTGTCATACAGACAGACAAACAGGCAAGGCGGCCACACAGACAGACACGGTTAGCACACAGACAGACAGGCACAGCAGACAGACAGACAGGCACGGTTGGCAAACAGAAAGACGAACAGGCAAGGCGGGCACATAGACAGACAGACAGGTAAGGAGGGTACACAGACAGGCAGACAGGCAAGGCGGCCAGACAGACAGACACGGTTGGCACACAGACAGACAGGCCCAGCAAACAGACAGACAGGTAAGGCGGGCAGACAGACAGACAGACAGACAGGCACGGTTGACACACAGAGAGACGAACAGGCAAGGCGGTCACATAGACAGACAAACAGGCAAGGCGGGCACACAGACAGACAGACAGGCACGGTGGGCACACAGACAGACAGGGTCGGTGGGCACACCGACAGACAGGGATCTGCAAGTCTCGATCTGCCCCTTCGTATCTGGCCCAGTCCCTCACACAGCACCGCCCATGTCGCTCTCTCCGTTCTCCGCATAAACGGTTCCTCGTTATCCCCACTGTGAGGACTTCTAAACTCTGTCAAAAAAGAAACGCAACCCCTGTCCTCAGATATGAAAAATTCGTTTGAATGAAGTTATTGCTTCCAAACTAAATTTTATTCGAATGTATTGAAATGATACACGTAATTAATGAAGATTACCATCCAAACAACTGCATTTGTACGCATAAGTGTATTTTATTGCTTATTCCGTCACAACGCATGAAATGACCCTCATGGTGACTTCGCACAAAAAAAACACATGCAAATCATGAAAATGGCAGTTAATGTAGGGGTGTATAAAAGCCCATGTGCTTCCGTATTATATTCATTCATTTGTCGCCGAAAAGCTGTGTTAAAAATGCCACGATTGAGTGCTGCCGACCGAAATATCGCCATTGGTCGTGTTCAAGCCGGAGAAAGTTTGGAACTGTTGCACGGCACCTAAATGTTCACAAAACAACGATATCCCGACTTTGGAGCCGCTACAACAACTTCAATTTGACCAACGATCGCCCGAGAAGTGGAAGGCCAAGAATCACGACCCCCCTTCAAGATCGGTACATCCGGGTCCATCACCTGCGTAATCGGCATGCCCTACCAACCGTGACTGCCACACAAATACCAGGTTTGAGGAGAGTGTCAGCTCAAACGATTAGGAACCGTCTGAAAGAAGCGGGTTTACGTGCCTGTAGACCAGTTGTTGGACCTGTTCTACGCCCCTACATCGACGCCGACGACTCAGGTGGTGCAACAACGTAAGGATACGGACTTTACAAAACTGGAGGCGAATCTGGTTTTCTGATGAATCACGTTTTTCTTTGCAACGTCACGACGGAAGACAGCGTCTGTATAGGAGACGTCATAAACGTTTTGCGCCCATCTGCGTCCGACAGGTGGACAGATTTGGCGGAGAAAGCGTCATGGTTTGGGAACCATCTCATACAACCAGAAATCAGACTTGGTGATCGTTCCAGGGAACCTGACAGCCCAACGTTACATCAACCACGTGTTAGAGCTTCACCTTCTCCCGATTATTGACCAACAGACACAGATTTTTCAACGGGACAACGCCCGGCCTCATACTGCACGTGCAACAATGAACTTTCTGCAGAATTCCAACGTCAATGTCTTGCCATGACCCTCTAAATCCGCAGACCTCAACCCTATTGAACACCTGTGGGATACTCTGGATCGACGCGTACGTCAACGTCAGCCGCCGCCACAGACGCTGCAACAGCTCGCCGTTGCACTGCAGGAGGAGTGAGAGCCATTCCCAGGAAAGAATCCGGCGTCTTATCCGTTCTTGTCCAAGGAGATGCCGTGCAGTGATTGCAGCGCGTGGTGCTCATACGAGATACTGAGAAAGACGCCCCCCTGGTGACAAACTGGTGTCTGTGAGATGACTTTTGAAATGACAATTTTAAACATGCCCATCTGGGTTATTATTCTGCCAAATTTCAGACTTCTGTCTTAAATAATAAAAATGCCGTGTCGTCCTAAAACTTCAGATCAAAATCTCTAAAATACAGGGGTTGCGTTTCTTTTTTGACAGAGTTTACATATGGTGAAAGGACCTTTTGGTATGCTGCCTCTCCAACCTGGAATCAACTACCTCAATATCAGAATTCAGATAAAACTAAGGCAATATGGCTTCGGTCAATGATTGGATAGAATATTAAAGTGTGCGAAGATGTTAATCTAGATTGGATTCTTGGTGACTTTGAAGTTTTTGGTATTCAACTAAACGCAAATTTAGAAAAACTATGGGTTATCAACACCAGAAAAAGACTAGAAAACATTAAGAGATTATTAGCAAATTGGCGTAAACGTAAATTGACATTAATTGGAAAAATAACTGTGATAAAAACTTTAGCATTATCAACTCTTGTTCACATATTCTCTGCTTTGCCGCAACCACCCAAAGAATTTGTTCATGAACTAAGTTCAATTTTTTAAAAGTTTATTTGGAACTCTAAACCTGATAAAATTAAACGGGCGAATTTGACCAGAAGCTATGAGAATGGTGGATTGAGAATGGTAGATATAAATGTGTTTATATCATCGCTAAAGTTCAGTATCCTAAAAAGAAAGAGCATGTTTAAGAACCTCTATAATAGCTACTTTCCTTTAAGACTCCTTTTTCAACTGGGTGCCCATGTATCGTCTTACAGACTTTGTAAAATTGATAACCCCTACTGGCAGGATTTGATATATATTTGGAGTAAATACTATAGGTCTCATTTGACAGATGCAAGAGATATTCAGGCTATTCTAGCTGAACCGATATGGTTTAACCACCAGTGTACAGACTCAAATTTTATTATAGAACACTGGTTCGGTAAAGGAGTGCATTATATAAGAGACCTATGTGATGAGAACGGGCTCTTATCCTTTGTAGACTTGAAACAATATTCAACCTCAAGGGTACTTATCTGGACCATCATCGAGTTGTTAGTAATCTCCCTAAAGAATGGATAAAGGTGATAGACAATTCTAAACCTATATGTGTCTACGATCTTAGGATGAATAACTTTCTAATGGAATGGACTAAACCAGCAAAGGGATCTCGGAAGATATATGATATACTTGTTCAAAATAATTATCTCCCTATTATTTGTTATGAGTTTCAGCTTAATCTTAAATCCATCCTCTTTGGTATCCAGGGGACCGCAAACTTCAAACTGGTCAACCACATTCTTTTGGCCGGAAAAAGAAATATATATATATATATATATATATATATATATATATATAAGTTGTGTTAGAAATGAATCTCTATCTTTCAAATCTTTTATTGCTACCTTGAAAGATATTTTTCAAGTTGAGAGATATGTTGCTAGAATAAAAAAACAACTAAAAGAATGTATGAGCAAATGGCTACCACTACTCACAACATGGACCGATGTGTCATGACTCTTCAACATGCTTAAAGTAGAATTTTGAGATAGCGAATTACAATATTTGTCAATCCACGGATGGGAAAAGATATACATATCTATATGCATAAGCTGTATTAAAAATTTAATATTAACCCTAAAATCATCCATCGCATCTTTGAAAGATATGTTGCCAGAATGAAAAAACCAGCCAGACGAATGTGGAGTAAACGGGCTCTCATTACACAACATGGTCTGATGTGTTATGACTCTTCAATGTATACAATCTATGATCTTTGTGCAGTAATACTTGAATGTATCACAACACAAACATGAGTAGACACTATCTACACATGTTTGTGTTGTGAACTGTCAACATGTATAAGCTTGTATTAGGCATGACATCTGTATAATAATGTATAAATGTTTCTACCCCTTGGTTACCCAGAAGGATAGGGTGCTGTTATGAACACGAACCAAATGAACCCAGGAGCAAACAAGTAATATTACTCAAAGCACCGACTTACCTTATTGCTCAAGCTTAGACGATCCGCAATTATACAACTTTGTTTGGATGATATTCGTATAAAACGACTGTAACTAGTTATGTCACCCGTCAACGTGTATGGCTTTTGTATAGAGTGAATGTACCTACTGATGTGAATAAAAAAAAATGTGGAAAAAAAAAATGTTACAAATCAGGAAACAAAAACAAACTACCTCAATATATACGTGACTGTACAGAACTTTCTACTTTTAGATCCGTACTAAAGACTCACTTCTTCAGATTAGCCTATGAGTCCAAACAATAATCCATTGAATTGTGTTCCATGTATCGCTAGTCTTTCATTATCTCTTAGTGTCTGTTGTATATAATTCTATATCTTGTGCTTGGAACATGTTTTACATGGAAAATAGTGCATTACAGGCATGCTACTAGTATTATCATTATATTCTTTTTTCTGATTGCCCTTGACGTGGGTTAATTTTTATAACATGTAATACACAACCCTTTATTTTAACAAGCCACAGAAACATCCTTTAAAGCTCTACACTTTTACTATCCAAATCAGTGGATCAGTCGTCACCTCGTTATCAACTCCCTGGGGAGTATACAACCAAAGATGCCGGTTGGATAGGAGTAACATTAGAAACTCTTCATGCTGGGTAGCAACTCACTTCGGGGAAAGCATGGTTAAATTCACTTGCCGAGGTCTCCCATACAGATTATCACCTTGACGACCGCTGTAGTCGTGATCACCAAGTCAGACAACTGTCGCGTCGTGTCGGTACTATCGAATCAGTTCATGCTGTTTACACTCAAGTGCAGTTCACGTACGGAGATAACATGTTTGTAACCCCGCTGATCTGTTGTTAATATAGAATTAGGCACCCCTCCATAAAACTAGTATGTTCTACTTTTTCCTTATTTACAACGACGAGTGTTGTTTCGGTGTAGATTCTACCACCCTCTTCAAGTAAGTACTTAGTACTCCAACTTCTTTTGCCTCTCAAAGAAGTTATTCGTCGTCTTCATGTAAACGTATCAATCATAAATTGCTTGACAACGGCGTTAGAATTTACACCGAAACGCCGCTCTTCCTTGTAAATGGAGAAGTTGTGCATCTATACACCAGTCATTATTAGAATGTATTAGATTTGTACGACGGCAGCCAGTAACAAATTTAGTCTGGACCGGACAATCTAGTGATGGATATCGAGAACAACGGTCCACTCTGTCGGAATACGAAGACAGGACATCAATCAGCCATGACACCATCAGTGTTTGCGAAAATGATATAATAGGGATAATAAATGATTAAAAAGGATTGAAGTAGCGCTCAAAATGTACGATTTTTTTTATCCCGGGCACAGACTTCCAAAAGTGGCGAAGTAAGTACCAAAATTAAAATTCTAAACTAAACATTACTAAAAACAACACCCTAAAGACTAAACCTCTACCACAAATCTACACATATTGACAGGGTGATAACCAAATTACAAACAGGTCACACAAAATTTTATACCCATCAATATAAAATAAAAAATCCACACCAAACAGACAAATGCACTTACTGCTACGAAACAGAAACACCCGAACACGTCCTAATACCCAGCATACCCTACCGACAACACAGCATGGTGCTCCAGAGTTCACTGGACACAAACACATACCTGACACTACAAACACTCCTAACCTTATGACATTATAGCCCAAGCCTTCAAAGCCTCAGGTATATTCCTTATCGACACGAGCCATGGCGTTCTACGTCGCATATATTCCCCCATAACCAACTCGTGCTAACATAGAAAAACATACGAAAACAAAAGAAAAGAGCAAAGCAAGCACCAACCCAAATATCATCATCAGCGAAGTTGCAAGATCCACAGAGGGTGCAAAGGAAGTCAGAATGAAACTGACATTCAACTAAAACACGACTGGTCAGTCTCGCTGACTTGGTTGACACATATCACCGTATCCCAGTTGCGTAGATCGATGCTAATGATGTTGATCACTGGATTGTCTGGTCCAGACCCGAATATTTTAAGACCGCCACCATGTAGCTGGAATATTGCCATAACGGCGTCAATTTATTTTCTGAACACATATACGGCAGTATCTTCTCCCCTGGTGCATGTGATGTATATATGTTGTACATGTGTTGTATATGGTGTGTGTAAATATCAACTATTAGTCCAGTGTATTATGTACATTATACTGTTGGTTGCCTTGCAACCAAACACACACGTGTATTAGAGGACCACACCCCAAAATAGGCACGATAGCTCAAATATCTATCCTACATTCAAAAGTTCACTCACTTAAAGCACTCACTATATGTTATGTATATATATATATGAGGTTACATCGAAGATGAATTTGTCCACCAACTTGCGGGAACCAACTGCAAACCTTATTGAGATGAATTGCACGAGGATCAATCATTAAATTGCTGAAAGCATGTGCAAATATCGTGCATGTGAACAGCTGCGTTTTGGTGTAAAGTATTGTTAAGAATTCACCAATTTTCACTGAGTTTCATCATTTACTGAACTCATGACAATAATCTTTCCAACTTTACGAATTTGTTTTGCAATACATCAGTTCATGTGTAAACAGTACAACACAATTGCCAAAATATCTTTGTGACCTGATCCCAAACTCCGTCTCCGGAACTACAAACTACAGCTTGAGGAATAACTCTGAAATACAAGGAATTTACAGTCGCACTGCCTCTTATGCTAAATCCTTTTTACCTGCCACAATAAATTTATGGAATGCCCTACAAAATTCCAAAGAGTCACGTAGTTTCACAGAATTTAGAAACCTAATTACAAAAATTGAAAATAACATTTACTTTTACCTTAATTATGGCACTCGTTTTTGCCAAATCGTTCACTGCCGCCTCAGGCTCGGATGTAGCGACTTAAACGCCGATAAGTATAACAGACATTTAATATACAGCCCATGTTGTTCTTGTAGACATCAGAGTGAAAACGCCCTACACTATTTCCTCACTTGAAGTAACTATAATCGGATAAGGCTTAATATGTAATTTTCAACTACCGGTTATAACCTGGATACCATTCTTAAGGGAAACAAAGAACTTACTCCCTGTGTAAACTAGAAAATAGTTGAATCCGTCCACGATTATATAACCAAGACACAACGCTTCGAATTTTCTCAGGAAAATAATTAAATTTACTCAACAACCTTCTCATGATTGATTTATATTTCTACAATGGCTTGTTAGACACACACAACTGTAACTCTCTAACGTATGACTGCTTAGAGAATAGTTGTATTTCATGTAATCTGTATATATTTATCTTTATTTAAAAATATTATATTTATGCAATGGTCAGTATCGATGACGTCAAATCCTCCATTTCATGTTGTATTATATGTTGCATGGGAGCGGTGTTAACATAAGCAGTAATGCTTGTTCACCAATCCCAAATCATCTTCATGAATAAAAATATGTTTACATCATTTCTGGGAGTTCGAGTGCCGGATTGCCCCTGACATGGAGAGGAATCCGTATAAAGTCTACCTTGAAGGTGTGGTAAATCTTAAGTGCTCGTTAGTATTTCGTTTGTTAGTTTAGGTAGTTTTATTGCTTCTAGACCGCTGAGTGAGTATGTTAGAGTATTGTGTTGTTAGACGAGAGGGTCATGGTGTGCTGTTAGTATGCCCATTAGATGATTCACAGGCAAACTGTAGCGCTTTGCTCGCATATAGGAAGACTGGTCATTTTCTCTTTGTTGCGCAACCCTATTTGTGCTACAGATTCATGAACGATCGTGGTGGGAGGACTATTCTTTACAGGTGAGAAATATTCAAGTATTGAATATTGATCCAATTAATGAAATTAAAATACTATGAAATAAACTGTCACAATTTTCCATTGCAGTAAGATAGTTTAATCACAATATATAATAATAGAATCTTTTTATGCCAATTAACACAATTTTGTTTCATTCAAGAATAATATTTCACAATCAGTCACTTTAGAGGTTTGACGTCGACTTCTGGCGCAGGGTTGGTTTACATATCGAGCTGTTTTTTTATAGGTAGGCTTATCAGTGGAGTCTTTCTAAATCCCTACTCCTACCTCCGTGGACACGAACATACGCATATACAGACAGACAGACAACCACGGCGGGCACATAGACAAACAGACAGGCACGGTGGGCACACAGTCAGGCAGAAAGGCACACTGGCCACAAAGACAGGTAGACAGACAGAAAGGCACGGTGGGAACACAGACAGACATGCAAGGCGGGCACACAGACAGACAGACAGACAGGCACGGTGGGCACACAGACAGACATGCAAGGTGGGCACGCAGGCAGACAGACAGACAGGCACGGTGGTCACACAGGCAGGCAGACAGACAGGCACGGTGGCAGACAGACAGGCAGGCAGACTGACAGGCAATGTGGGCACAAAGACAGACATACAGGCACGGAGGACAAACAGACAGGCACGGTGGGCAGACAGACAGACAGATATGGTGGGCACACAGACAGACAGGGACGGCGAGCACACAGACAGGCAGACAGGGACGGAGGACAGACAGACAGGCAAGGTGGGCACACATACAGGCATGTTGGGCACACAAACAGACAGGCATGGTAGGCACACATACAGACAGGCACGGTGGGCACACAGACAATTAGACAGGCACGGTGGACACACAGACAGGCGGACAGGGACAGACAAACAGGCACCCACGCACGCACGCATACGGTTCTGACGTCATTGTAATTGAGAACAATTTTCAGAACTTCATTAGAAAGGGTCGCAATAAGCCGAAACATATATTTTATAATGTTAAGCAACGGTAATTGCTCAGTGAATGTCGTATAGATTATTTTGGGCTGTCGCGAGTGTAATCTACAATAAAGCCCCCACACAACAAGTAGGCCAGTGATATATTGATCATGCAAAATGAGGCCAAATTAACCAAAGCGCGACAACGCGACAATGTCCCTTACAGGATTCCATAGTTTTGCTATACGTTATTTTTGGAAAACTAACTTACACTCAAGTGTAACAGTGTGCCTATATGGGAACAGGAGTAGACCCCGCCATGGGATTCCTTTTACAAGCCTGTTACCAGTATGTACTGCTTTTCCACAGCGTTATCAGGTAGGTACTTAATGCTCCGACTTCTATTGCCTCTTAAAGAAGTCTTCATGCAGACATTGTATACAACCTACCACTGGACGCATAAAAGCATGTCTACATCTGTGATATTGCTACAACTTGTAACGTAGTTAGAGAACATGCGTTCTTCTCCACTAAGCCCACTATTGCTTGTTAAGAAACAAACTTGCTTTCCCTTCAGGTAATCCAGTTATCTTTTATTCCTTATATCTGTTTTCATCAGTAGACCACGTGTCCCCTGGAACAATGAAAGGCGGACAGATCCTGTCGCTTGTGGTGTTGATCTCTGCCCTGCTTGCTGTGACACGCACTCTTGGTAAATACACGTATATAATGATACAATGGAATTGTAGTCACCATGGTTATAGGATTAAAAATGAAACGAAACTCAAATTTGTGGAAGTTAAATTTGTCATATTCATATGGTTTCCTAAATACAATACAGGTTATTTTTTCTGACACTTCTAATTTTTAACATACAAGATAATTTTTTTCAGAGCACCCAAGTCACGACTCATGTAACACAACTGGGTGTAGACATGGGAATGGTCGTCTTCGATGTCAGTCATGTAACACCGGGTGTCACGGATCAAACTGCAGCTCTACATGCCAAGGACGTTGTGACGGAGACGGATGTGACAGGTCCACTGGAGAATGTTTCAGATGTAGGCCAGGGTTCTATGGACGACACTGCGACACACCCTGTCCACCACGATGTTCCAGCAGTCCGGTAGGTGGCGCTGTCTACTGTGACCGACATACAGGTGCTTGTTCTGAATCTTGTGGTGGAGGATGGACCGGGGCACACTGTGATGGACGATGTCCACTCAACTGCAAGGCCTCAGTCTGTCACATACACACAGGAGAATGTCTTGATGGGTGTGACGGAAGATGGACAGGGGGCTTTTGTAACATGTCATGTGACAACTGTCTGATGGGAAGGTGCAGCATCACTGGGTACTGTCTACATGGATGTGAAGCAGGCTTCTATGGACAGAAGTGCGAAGACAGATGTCCACATTGCTGGACCAGTGGCTGTGACAGACAGACTGGAGTATGTGAACAGTGTCAACCTGGTTACCATGGACACCGCTGCAGTAACACGTGCCCCGTGAAGTGCTACAAAGGAAGAGATGGACACAAGTACTGTGATCGACATACTACAGTTTGTCAGGAAGGATGTGAGATTGGGTGGCACGGGTCACACTGTAACACCCCGTGTAGTAAATCCTGCAGGTCCTCCTTGTGTTACAGCGATGATGGATCGTGCGTGGAGGGCTGTGTTCCAGGGTACTATGGGAAACACTGCCACAAGAAATGTCCGCATTGTAGAGACAATGTGTGTGACCGCCATGGACGGTGTTCAGCCTGTACTGATGGATGGTTCGGAGAGAGATGTGACGAGGCTTGTGGGTGGTGTTTGGATGGTGTATGTGAGGTGGACGGTAGTTGTAGTCGTGGCTGTAAGGACGGCGCATACGGGAGTCACTGTCAGTACTTATGCAGTGGGGACTGTGTAGCGTGTGATCAGATGACAGGCGACTGTAATGACGTAGGATCTGTTGATGCTGTGATCGAACTTGATACGTTTGCAGGTACATGCTCCTTAATGTATTCCAAGTATCAAAACGTAATGCCCATTGCGTGTGTACTTGCTTGCTTATCTAATTATTTAGATATATAGGTAGATGCCGGGATACGTAGGTAGGTAGGGTATCAAAATTGTAATAACTGCACTGTGTTCAGGTGATATAACTGATCTATTTAACAAAACTGTAATGTGGGTTCAGCTAATATAACTGTACTATGTGTTCAGCTAATATAACTGTGCGATGCGTTCAGCTGATATAGCTGTACCACGTGTTGAGCTGATATAGCTGTACCACGTGTTCAGTTGATATAGCTGTACCATGTGTTCAGCTGATATAGCTGTGCCATGTGTTCAGCTGATATAGCTGTGCCATGTGTTCAGCTGATATAGCTGTGCCATGTGTTCAGCTGATATAGCTGTACCATGTGTTTAGCTGATATAACTGTACCATATGTTCGGCTGATATAGCTGTACCATATGTTCAGCTGATATAACTGTACCATATGTTCAGCTGATATAACTGTACCATGTGTTCCGTTGATATAACTGTGCCATATGTTCAGCTGATATAACTGCACTATGAGTTCAGCTGATATAGCTTTATTCTGGTCTTCTGATCAACTGTAATTTGTACAAACCATGAAGAAATTGATTGTTTAGAAAACTCTCCCGCAACACTGACTCATTTCATAAAATGAGCGTAGCGGGAGAATGTTTGTAAAAAATCAATTTCTTTACCGATTTCGTTCAAATTTGAAATATAAGTTACTCATAGCATATAAAAACAATATACAGTTGCAAAAATCTAGATTTTTTTTGTTTTAAAATGATTGTCCAAAGTGTGATTCGAATGTGGTTTGGACCCTTACGATACACCGCCAGCACGTCTGCTAATGATCGTACCGCTCTTAGTCTTTGTATTCCCCATCGATATGATACGATGTATCAGAGTGCATATATTATCTCTGTTTTTATACCAGTTAGAGATACCCGGCACCGTCACTACATTTCGTGTACGTAAACGTTTGATATTAGACATATGCATATATAAGATAGCAACGTATAAATGGGGAAAATAATGGTGTCATTTACGGAGATTCGAACATTCGCCCGAAAGTTGATGAGTAATTCCGTCCTGATATGACGCGACGCAGATGGCAATCTGAACTGGGAGACATTCTACCGATAATGACCTTCAATTGTTTTTGTTGTGCGAATATTCAGGAAATACCAAACTTGTTCCCCCTAGTTCCTACTGACGTAGCTTGTTTTGCGAACCATCTTGGCTCGTTTGGGCGTAGTCCCGGTTACTACATCACAATGACAATTAACCTTGCAGAACTGATATTTCGCCCATCACCTTAAACCAGAGAGAAGCGCCTTTGAGTCTTTCGTGGCATAGTGAAGTTTGTCACTTCATATATAGGGACTCTTGACTTCTGATGTAAATACGAAACTAAGTTTGAATAATGAACTTGTATCTTATATGTTACTAAGCTGCTAATATCGTATATAAACATGCTATTCGCACCCATGTGGCAATGTTGTATAATAACGTGTATACGCGTATTGCTAAGGCTATGAAAACGGACATGCATGAACAAAAATGTATATAGATGTATATAGGTATCATATCTTAGATGACAGGCAATGAGTCATGCTATAGCCATGTGTATTCTGTGCTGACTTATAGATGGGGGATATTGTGGTACCATGTTTGTTTTTTACTAACAAACACTTAGAAGACAGGTCCACACATATTTCATGGAACAGTCTATATATACTGAGCCTTGATGTATATTATAAACATTACAACATGTACCTAAAGTAGGGGCTGCACCCTCGATGTGTGATATGATATGTCATGTCTATTGTTGACCGATTGTTTCAGCGTTTTATGTATAGGGAGGAAATTGTATCCTGGTGGATTCGTCCCAGAATAATAAATGTGCAATCACTTCACACCCTGTAGCCTTGTAGTTTTCATTACTGAAGAACACCAAATCCCATGCTACTGCACTGAAATCTCCCGTGTTGATAGGGGATAGAAGTGGCCTAAGCAACCCAAGCTGTAAGGGTGTCAGCCCGATCTGTCGACAAATGAATAATAGGATGTTGCTAACCGTCGACAAAAAAGACCCGGAGTGTCGACATCGCATGGTCAACATACCGTGACGGTGTTAATTAATGAAAGAGAATGTTTGCTTAGTGATTTGCAAGTGGCTATGGTGGTTACAGCTATGCTCGTTTCATGAGGAAATGAATTAGGTTAATTATAGAGAATGTCTCTTTAACAATTTGTGAGAGAATTAATATTGCAAACAGACCATTATGCAAAATAGATCATACCGGAAAGAAACAGATAGCTTACAAAATATGTGTCATGTGTCAGAGTTGAACATTACAGATTACTTTAGTGCAGATATAAAGGAGTTTTGGCAAAAAGAAATATCTGGACTCATCTTTTATATATTTATTGCTTATACACCTGCAGAAATCACTCATTTCTATAACACACACATATTGTGTGAGATTTATGAAACATATATACAAATATGTTATATTGTGTGACATATACATACATGTTGTTATATTGAGTAAATAAATATTTTGTCTTCTATATATATCTCGCACTCTGAGTTTAATTGGATTGTTAATTTCGAGAACACTGGGTGTGAAGTCACTCATGTAGAACATCTCCCTTTCCCCGGACTGTCGACAAGTAATTTGGACGGATGTTTTTGTTGTTGTCGACAGTCCGGGTATAAACCGCTGTAAAAGGCGACTTACCGGATAGGGTGGTCTCTGGCCGCGGCTCTGAGGCCATTCAATCGTCAGTTTATGAACAACGTTGATAGAAGCTACTTCAACAACTACCACGGGATCCCCGTCCTGAACATCGTCGGAATGGTCTTCGCCTGTTTGGTTCGTAAAAGACTACAGACACTTGCTGTTATGGTGTATCCCGACACGCAGTTTGACTTATGGCCTAACGGTCCGAGACCTACCCGCCCTGCTCAATCTACCAGATGTTGGAAAGGACAAGCATCTATCAGCCTTACAAAAGCACTCGACGTTGTTTGCACTGTTTGCAGGTCATTTCAAACTGGCATAAAGTAAGATGGCTCATCCTCCGACTCTTTTGACATCATTAGTGGAGTACAACAAGGCTGTATGCTCAGCCCATCCTGTTTCGAATCCTCATCCCAGTCCTGCTAATTTTTATTGGAAAAATATAGAACCTCTTAACTTTCATATTAGTCTCTCGTACAGACCCTGAAGCAAATATATCCAAGAAAGCCCACACAAGTCTAGAAAATGTGGCAAGTCTAGATTTCCTCAGCTTCTTCTGAAAATGAAGAAAGTCTCAGGGCTCCTTTTCATTATAATTTTTTTTTTTACTATGAACTTTTTTCAGTAAAATATGTTCATTTCAGTATCTAGTTGTTAGTCTACTTTCATTTGAGCCTTGTGGACTTTGGACAAAGTCATAAGTAACACTTACCATCATGTTCAGGTTCCAGCCTGCATCGTGGACAGAGTATTAGGTACCCCATAATGACTGTCTATATTGTGCAACAACAGGCAGAAAGTCACACATGCTTGATATCACGCCTCACTGATCTTGTGATAAGGCTCATCCTCCGACTCTTTTGACATCATGAGTGGAGTACAACAAGGCTGTATGCTCAGCTCATCCTGTTTCGAATCATCATCCCAGTCCTGCTAATTATTATTGGAAAAATATAGAACCTCTTAACTTTCATATGAGCCTTGTGGACTTTGGACAAAGTCATAAGTAACACTTACCATCATGTTAAGGTTCCAGCCTGTATCGTAGACAGACAGTATTAGGTACCCCATAATGCAACAACAGGCAGAAAGTCACACATGCTTCATATCACGCTCCACTGATCTTGTGATGAGAACAAAGTGAAATAGCAAGGCTACGTTACAAAACTGTATTCTGCGTTATCTTACAAACAAATGCATTGGACGTAACATCGTACTCCATTAGGCGGATTTTATAACAGCTTACCATATATGAAAGTCATTATAGCTATGATAGCTTTTATTAGTCTTTTGAAATGATGACTAACGACACCCAGATATAGTCATCATTTCCAAATGCTTCTATGGAAGAAATTCTCAAAATTCAAAAGAATAGTTTTCAAATATTGTGAAACAATATCATTATAATGAGGTAAACATTCTTACCTGTTTCATAGAGGAATTTCGCGCATAAAAATTTAGTTTCCCTTCCAAATTTGGATAAAGCCTTGGATCAAGGGCTGTACCTTTAATTACTTGTCAACAACAACCTGTCTACATGGTGCAACATATGAAATTTGTTTTTTGTCTACTACTGGGCGCACACCTGTTTAAGGTGCAACACATGAAATTTGGTTCGTCTACGTACAAGGCGCACACCTGTTTAAAGTGCAACACATGAAATTTGGTTTGTCTACGTACCGAGCGGACACCTGTCTACAATTAAGGTGCAACATATGAAATTTGGTTTGTCTACGTACCGAGCGGACACCTGTCTACAATTAAGGTGCAACACATGAAATTTGGTTTGTCTACTACTGGGCGCACACCTATCTAAGGTGCAACACAAGAAATTTGGTTTGTCTAAGTACCGAGCGGACACCAGTTTAAGGTGCAACATATTAAATTTGGTTTGTCTACTACCAGGCGAACACCTGTTTAAGGTGCAACACATGAAATTTGGTTTGTCTACGTACCGAGCGGACACCTGTCTACAATTAAGGTGCAACACATGAAATTTAGTTCGTCTACGTACAAGGCGCACACCTGTTTAAGGTGCAACACATGAAATTTGGTTTGTCTACGTACCGAGCGGACACCTGTCTACAATTAAGGTGCAACATATGAAATTTGGTTTATCTACTACTGGGCGCACACCTGTTTAAGGTGCAACACATGAAATTTGGTTTGTCTACTACTGGGCGTACACTTGTTTAAGGTGCAACACATGGAATTTGGTTTCTCTACTACCGGGCGCACACCTGTTTAAGGTGCAACAAACGAAATTTAGTTTGTCTACTACTGGGCGCACACCTGTTTAAGGTGCAGCACATGAAATTTGGTTTGTCTACTACCAGGCGAACACCAGTTTAACGTGCAAGACATGAAATTTGGTTTGTCTACGTACAAGGCGCACACCTGTTTACACGGTGCAACACATGAAATTTGGTTTGTCTACTACAGGGCGCACACCAGTTTAAGGTCGAACACATGAAATTTGGTTTGTCTACGTACCGAGCGGACACCTGTCTACAATTTAGGTGCAACATATGAAATTTGGTTTGTCTACTACAGGGCGCACACCTGTTTAAGGTGCAACATATGAAATTTGGTTTGTCCACTACCAGGCGAACACCTGTTTAAGGTGCAACACATGAAATTTGGTTTGTGTACGTACCAGGCACACACCTGTTTAAGGTGCAACACATGAAATTTGGTTTGCCTGCTACCAGGCGCACACCTGTTTAAGGTGCAACACATGAAATTCGGTTTTTCTACTACCGGGCGCACACCAGTTTAAGGTGCAACACATGAAATTTGTTTGTCTACTACTGGGCGCACACCTGTTTAAGGTGCAACATATGAAATTTGGTTCGTCCACTACTGGCCGCACACCTGTTTAATGTGCAACAAATGTAATTTGGTTTCTCTATTACTGGGCGAACACCTGTTTAAGGTGGAATATATGAAATTTGGTTTGTCTACTACCGGGTGCACACCTGTCTAAGGTGCAACACAAGAAATTTGGTTTGTCTACGTACCGAGTGGACACCTGTCTACAATTAAGGTACAACACCTGAAATCTGGTTTGTCTACGTACCGAGCGGACAACCACTTTCAATTACTTCTCCTATTGTTCTTAAGGAAAGTAAGTTGCCGCGTATTCGCATACAAGGTGCTCAGCACTAGGCATTTGTTGGTTAAGCTTGGAAAACGGAGCTCGATCCGCCATGCTGCGCTAATTATGGACATTAACAGTTATTTTTATCATTGCCAACATTGGTATCAAAGTTTGCCCCACACACTGAGCAATGCATATCATGTTAAGTTGGTAGGGTTAACAGAAATAGATTAGATTTCCATACACGTGATGAATAGGCTGAAGGAAGGCCACCTTCCACTGGTTCATTCTGACCCCTCTCCCCCTATAACCCCATACAGGGACGTAAGGTGATTTTGTTTCTCACAAGTCTGTCATGAGCATAACCAGCCGAATCAATATTTAAAGGGGATCCATCGTCTCCATGGCAAATGGACTATTCACCACCATTACTTCTCCTGCTACTACTACTACTACTACTACTACTACTACTACTACTACTACTACTACTACTACTACTACTACTACTAGTAGTAGTAGTAGTAGCTAATTACTGCTGCTGCTACTACTGCTACTACTACTGCTGGTGCTAGTACTGGTAATTACTACTACTAATACTGCTCCTGCTGCTGCTGCTGCAACACTACTACTACTAGTACTACTGCTACTGCTGCTGCTACTGCTGCTACTGCTGCTACTGCTGCTGCAGCTGCTACTGCTAACTACTGCTACTACTACTGCTGCTGCTGCTACTGCTACTAATTGGTGCTGCTGCTTACTGCTACTACTGCTAATAACTGCTACTGCTACTACTATCATACTTACTCACTGCTACTGCTACTGCTACTGCTGCTGCTCAATACTAATAATTATTAGTACTAGTAATCACACTGCCACCACTAACACACATATACTAGTACTAGCACTGCTACTGCTACTCACTCACTAGAACTCACACTGCCACTGCTGCTGCTACTATCACTACTTCAGCACTAGCACCACCACCACTACTGCTACTGCTAATTACTACCACCATTAGCACTAGCACTAGCACTGCCACTGCTGCTACTAATACTTGTACTAGTGCTGCTACTGCCACTGCTACTGCTGCTGCTACCACTAATCTCTACTACTACTACTAGCACTAGCACTAGCATCACACTACACTACTACCACTAGTACTGTTATCACACTGCTGCTGTTGCTACTACACTACTAGTACTACTCTTCACTACTGCTACTACACTACTACTCACTATTAGTACTAGCACTGCTACTGCTACTACTAATGACTACCACTACCACTACTGCTACTGCTGCTTCATAGGCCACCATTGCTCCTGCTGCTACTACTCTGGCCATACCTCCACTACTACTGCTGCTGCTGCCACTACTGCTGCCACTA